TAGTATTTTTATTTTAACTCTGACATTAATAAATAAAAACAATAAATTCATATTTATACATATATATTTTTTATTTATATTTATTTTATTTTATATTTGTAGGTCACATCCAACTCAACCAACGAGTACGGGGATGGACCTATCTAATCCTATTTGGTCACTGACCCAAATTAATGATCTGGCTGAGCAAAATCGAAGACAGCACACGTGAAGTGACGTGTGGATAAATAATATGAAAGTAATTAAGTTATTTTTGCAAAGTGTTCTTGTAGAGACACCGTTTGGAAACACAGTTTGCACCGTGATTTCAAAAAATTTAAATTTTTTTAATTAAAATTTAATATGTTTTTTTTAGTTCGGAGTTGTATCAAAAATAATTTTTAAAAATAAAAAAATATTGCTAATATATATTTTAATATAAAAAATTAGACTGCCAACCAACTCTAAGTTCAAAGAATGAAAAAACGAGTTCAAGAATGGGTGTACCTGCATCTGGAGATGGCAAAGATTGTTGCGGCGCGGTGATGCCTTTCACCTGCTTGAGCTCTTTCCTTCTGCTTTTTCTTTGCTTCGGTGCCTCTGCTTTCGTTTCTAGTCGCTTTTGAGATGATGAAGAAACCAAGAATGAAGATGCCGGCTTACTGTGGATATGTATTGTTAGGTCTTGTCTGTGTGTATGCTGCCCTTTTTCTCCCCAGTTTTTGGGGTTTTTCCTCCGGTCCTTCGTTCTGCTCTACTCTGCCTTTTATAAGGTCAGAGAGCTTCAAAAACTAGTCCCCTACAGGTCCTGCCTTTGTAGGACTGTTATTCCCTCCACGAACGGGATCGTGGTAGAAGACGTGGTCACGATTTGGATCGGATGCACCGTGGATTTCCTTGTTGAATCGCTGTCATCTACGCGAAATGGAGGGATAATGAACAGTATTGAAAAACGGCACCGTTTGACTATTTTCACTTTGGTCCCTAACATTTTAATCTTAAGGGACCTTAATAAGTCATAAAAAAAATTTTAATTGTGCCCCTGGATATTATTTCAATTGAATCCTCAGTTAAAGGTGGTTTACACAATAGTTTTGGGTTTCTGAAATATTCGGAACTACAATTTTCTGCAATTTTACTGTTAATCAACTCCAAATTTTGTTATTTCTTCTTCTTGATTTCTTTAATTAATTAAAATAAAGTTTAATTAAGTTCATAAACTTATTTTTTTATTTTTTCTTCTTGATTTATTTAATTAATTAAAATAAAGTTTAATTAAGTCCATAAACTTATTAATTCTTTAATTAAACTCTTGATTTTATTAATTAAACTAATTCAAAATTTAATTAAATTCTTAAACTTATTAATTCTTTCATTTCTAATTATTTGATTCTCACTTTTGATAATTTCAACCCTTGATTTTGAATTTATGTTATCTTAAGTCCTATTTTCAACTATATTTAATTTGTTTAAAAATTAAGTTATAAAAAAATTAGTATATTTTCTTATCTTTTTGAAAGAAATTCTCCGTAGTAAAAATATAATTGTCACAATCATGACTATGACCACCAACATCACTGTTATCCACATTTATTTTTTTTAGTATTGCCTTTATTTTATAATTTTCAATGAAAAATAACCATTTTTTAATTTAGCTACATGTTATTAATAAATTGAATGCTTAAATATGAATTGTCATTTTCACCGTATATTCAGAAGTGTTTAAGACGTAATATTATTTTTTTTAAGTATTTATTATTTAAAAATATATATTTTTTGAAAAATTATTTTTAATGTCATAAAATTAAAATAATTTAAAGTTATAAAAAATATTAACTTAAAATAAATAAATAAAATACAAAATATTTTATTTTTTAAAAATATTTTGAAAACACAAACAAAACAAACCTGCCGAAATTCTTCCATTGTCTTCCAGACGATGGATGGCTTGTCGCGTTCACCGAAGCTGAAGCAGTTGCTACGAAGTGCTTTCAACGGTTACAGTTTGTCCGAAACAAATATTTGGTGGCATTTTTCTTCAAGGGCAGAAAATTTCCAAGATGACAGATACGTGTCAACAACATGTATCCCGAACACCTGCTGCTTTTCCCTGTAAGCTACGGCGCTACCACGTCATTTCTCAGAGTGTATTTAATGCGTCTGTCCCCTATGATGCCTCGTCAATCTGTGTTTCTTCTACACTTTCAACCGAGGCTGCTGCTGGCTCTTTCTTCCTTGCATGAGCCATCCTCAGTCAAAGTTTTGATAGCCTTAGCATGTGCTGCTTACGGCTGCAGTTGTGGTAGTTTGTTGAACAAAATCAATGTGGTCAGTGATGGCTTGACAGGTAACGGGTACCATTCACATTAAAAAAAAAAAAATTATTTTTTTATTTTAAAATAATATATTTCTTATGTTTTTATTAAAATACTAATATAAAAAATAATTTAAAAAAAATATTATTTTAATATATTTTAAAATAAAAAAAACTTTAAATAACAACTACTACTGTCTACATTTAAATTTTATTCTTGATAATCGTATGTGTAGTCTTTAAATATATTTTAAAAATAATATATTTTTATCTTTTAAAAAATATTTTTGATATCAAAATAATAAAAAAATATAAAAAATAATTTTATTAAAAAAAACCTTTAATTAAGCAACAAACAGACACTTACCACAACTTAATTTATTGTCATCTCTATCCTTTTGCTGGTTTTGTTTAGTCTTTCTGATTTCATAACACCAAGAAGTAGAATTTGTAATCAAGAAAGTATAACAATAGCGGAATTTATCATCTTTAAATGTACTAAATTAGTATGAATAATGAGTTTTTAAGATCATATGAGAGAGAATATCAATTAATGTGTATAATCTGATATTTTTATCATCTAATTAAAGAGAAATATGAATACCTTGTTGCCTAAGATATGTTGCTTAAAATATGCTTATGCAACACAAGCAATTGTATAGTTGGCAGTTTCGGTTTGAATTTCGAACATTTTAGTTTATTTAATTATTAAATAATAAAATAGTACTATTTTATTATATAATTATGATTCATTAGACGATGTACTCATCCGATTTTGTTTGGTTAGAAGAGAATAAAGACTCGAAAACCAAACCTGTTAAGGAAAATATTTTCATTTCCCAACTCTAATTCTCAAGTTTTATCATAGTTTTCTCCCGGAAATAAAGAGAATAATGCTATTTTGAACAGCTTTTTTTATTTTTTACTATATTAGCATCAATTTGGATTATTAATGTCTTGTCCAGAGACAATCTAACCATCGTCAAAAGTCTTACATAAAATAAGTGGTATGTATACCAAATGAAAATGAACATGAAAATGATCACTATCTTGAGAGTGATGTTCGTGCCCTCTCTGCGGTCATGGAATGATTAATGGAACATGACAACATGTCTCATGGCTGCCTTCATTGTTTTCTTTAGATGCTTTGGTGCATGAAACACGTCTGCCGAGGTTGACTTGAACGCAACCCTTCCAAAAACAGAGAAAAACCCAATTACTGCAATCCATGGCAAACAATTTCGGCAATAAATAAATAAATAAATAAAATTCTCCAAGGAGTGAATTCAGCACAAGTAACAAGACTTTGGATTAAGGGTCATCTATCTAACTTATAAATGATCCAACACTAATTTTGTTTTACACACACTCTCTCCAATCAAATTAACTTTTGTGGCTTTTGGGAAAAAAGAAGAAGCAATTGGGCATTTAAGTCTTAGGTAGATAACTGACATGTGTTATGCTGATACAGACAAAACTTTGTTGAATATAATATAAGAATATGCAGTTAGGTACCGAGAATCTTTTTAATAATATCATTAAATTTAATTTAGTGGGTTAAGTTTAAAATCTCCTAACATAATTTTTTTCTGTTTCAAGGAGTTTATAAATAATTTAAATGATTAGTAAAAATATGATTTCATTTAAAAAAATTAAAATGATATTTTTTTAAAAAACATTGAGACTATGATATATTAGATCAACTTGAGTTAACTTCATAAACCTGGATTAACCAACCAAATATATGATCTAGGTCATGGACTCTATTTAGTTCAATAACTTTATTTTATTTTGTTATATATTTTTTTATTTAATTATATGATAAAAATAAATACTTAAAAAATAAAGCACCAACCTAATGTCAGAACGTTTGCTTAAAGTCCATGATAGTCTTATAAAAAATAAATCAAAACACATTATCAAGCTTAATTTTTAACATACTTTTTTTAATAAAAAAAAAATAAGCAGATATTATCTATGCTTTATAAAATAAATTAAAAAGTATATCAAGAAAATAATTTGCATATATTGATAAGTGTTAGTATCTTAAAAAAAGAAGAAATATGTTTTTCAATCAAATCATGGTCTTTTTTGTGTGATACATATCAATCTCTATAATATTAAATCATGAATTTTCACCAATAAATAAAAAATCAATATAATATGGAGCAAGATGCTTTTTATAAGCTAAAATTATCATTTTAAAACCCAACATTTTCTTTTCAAAATACAAAAGATGATTCCTTGAAGAAAAATGCTTTATATTAAAATTATTAATTACTAGATTTATATTCTTCTTGACAAAAATAATAATGATGATGATTATAATAATCCGTATACAGGGTTACTAGAAGGGTAAATATAACTAGATTAGTGAGAGGGGTGCAATTTTGTTGTGATGATCATAATTAAGGATGATTACAAAAATTCCATAATAAGTTGAGAATAGCTAAGCACAACTCTCTCATAGTGATAATGAATATATATCCTCATACAACACATAGGGGGTATTAACAAGAAGAGTTAATGCAGGCTAAGTTAACAACCATACCTAGTGGTAAAACCTGGAGAACACTATAAGACAAACTCGTAATGAAATAAAAAGAAAGATTAAGCTTTCAAAATCTATAATTTACATTTCCTCTTTGACTTTAAAAGGTATGCTCCCCAAATAAAAATTAAAATAAGTTGCTACTATAGGTATACCCTTTATATTAATGATATTTTTAAGCTAAACGCTTTGTAAAATGCATATTTTCAAAAGTAATTTAAGTTGATGAAAGCTTTATAAATTATTTTACTGAAATCAAATTTTCTTGAATATAATTCTAAGAAATAAAATCTTTAGCTCAAACCTCTCCTTAGGAGATATTAAGTCTTGTAATCAGAACGTTCAACCCTGTCATTAGGAATTTCAAGCCGTGTAACCAAAAATGCAAGTCATGCCATGCAGGAAAAAAATCAGCCTTGTAATCATGAAGTGTAAGCCTTGGCATTAGGAGAGTTCAAGCCTTGTAATTAGGAAGTTTAGCCAAGTAATAAAAAAGTTTGGCTTTGTCACCAAGAAAGTGCAAGCTCTTTAACAGGAAGATTGACCCTACAATTAAGAGGTTCAAGCTTTGCTATCAAAAATCAGCTCTATCATTAGAAAACTATCCCTACAATTAAGAGATTCAATCTCGCCATCAAGAGTCAGCTATAAAATTAGAAGATCAAGTTCTAAAATCGAGAGATTCAACTTTGTCATTAGGAAGGTAGCCATGTTATTAGGAGGATTTGAAGTCATGTCATCAGCTGATTAAAGCCTACGGTCTTGCTTAAGGAAGATATTCAACAGGTTTTATAAAAAAAATACAAGGAAATTGTGTTATTTTTTTAATTATGGTTTTTAAACTTGATCTGAAGGTCAATCTTGAGTAAATCTTAGATCATAGATCAGGTAGGTTGGCTAGGGTTATCCAAGCAATTAATTTTTTTATTTTATAAATATGTAAAAATAACAATATTTTAATCAAAAATTTACAAAAAAAAATCAATAAGTTTTAAGATGGGTTTTAAAAATAATTTAACGAAGAAATTGCATCCTCATCCTTTTTTTATCGAGGTTTTCAGAAAATAACATTAGAAAATAAATTTTTTCAATAATCCAAGTAATGGATCCTAGCTAATGTGAGGCAAGATATTGATATGGGAGCTCTTTTTTTTAGAAAAGCAAATGCTCAACGAAAGCCGAAAGACCCACGAAACAACAGATCAAAGGTCAAGATCAAGATCACCTCGACCTTGTTAATCTTAGCGATACGTTAGACCCCGCCCCCACACCACCCCCAAGAGATCCCTCTCTGATACCCTTATTCTTTATATCTCTGAGACTCTTGATCTCTTTGCTCCACTAAGAAGAAAAATCAAAGAAAAAAAATCAGAAATAGGCAACTGCAACTAATCACTATTAGGCAAAGATAAGTTGGGATTTGCATTGGAAAAGAGAAGCACCCAAGAGAGGATGATATTGATCATTAATGTACAAAATTCCAGCCAAATCAATTTCTCTGCATAACCATCAGTCACCAAATAACCCCAAAATAAAGATAAAAACTAAGATATTAAAATATTGATCCAATTATTTTAAATCATGAAAAATGTGTTGCCTTCAATTAGCAAAACATTGTTAATTACAATGAAAAATGTTAATGTTGCTTCTTTGGTCTCAGCTTAATTCGCAAATAATGCCCAGAAAAAAACAAATTTGAAATTAAATGATAGCCCACAGTCACTTTTCTTTTAAGATCTCAAATTTATTTATCATGATTAAAACTAATTCATCTAAAACTAACTCAAAATTCCCCATCAATTTTTTTTTTCTATTTAAACAATATCTTTAATGGATTAACGTGTTTTGATTCTTTTTTTTAGATTAAAGGAACGAAACTTCAAGTGATAACCTACTATTTTTGGCTTATCCAATAATCTAAACATTAAGCTCAAACATATATAAATATATACGGTGAACTATCAAATAAAAAATTATTGGGTTTAGACAAATATTAAACTTAATCATGTATAAATTTAACAAACATCTAGATCTAGTATTATAGAACTTAGTCAAGCTGAG